CTAAAATAATATATTTAAACAAAACTAAAATTATTTATTTATCTAACTAAACCATAAAATATGTACTATGTATAATAGTAAAATACCAAACTATCAAGTGATTTTACTATTGTAAATCATCATGTGATTTTAAGCTAAAAATGACATAGAAATCACATAGCTCAAAAATATGTTTCAATAAATAACCATCCGTACTAGTTGACCTTGCTTACGTGATCATCTCGGCGAGCATTTCTCCACCGGACAGCACCGTACTTGGCCAAGGAAGAGCTCCGATTCTACGAGGAAGGGAACACGGTCTTCCACGACCGTTGCCGCTCTCCCTCGTAGAATCAAAGCTCCTCCTTGACGTCCGTTACCGCTCGGCAGAGAAAATGCTCGCCGAGATGATCACGGTCCGCAAGTTCAACTAGTACGGATTTTCTACAATTTTCTAACTATTTTCTAAGTTTTTCATTTCATGGAAAAATTAATTCTAAGATCACGTAAGCCGCCGGGGACGAGGATGGTGCGTGCTCCAGCGAGGACGAGCGAGGCGTGATTTTGATGAACTAATTTAACTTTTGTTTATCCAAACATATATGCAAATCATCATGTGATTTTGAGCTAAAAATGACATAAAATCATAATAAAGTCTAACATATAAAGTTATTACACATGCATCTACATCGCAAAATGAGATAAGCTACTGATAAAACATAAGAGGATTAAGTTTGTTACCTCCAAAATCGAAGAGCAACACCAATGGAGGGGGAGAGAGCAAGAACAACAGCAAGCTGAAGAACAGAGGCAGTGAGTTTGAATGGATTGGCTCGGGCTCGGGGAGGAAGAAATGAGCCGGTGTATAGGTCGGCATAATTAGTCCCGGTTAGGTGGCTAAACCGGGACTAAAGATTAATATTTATTCCCGGGGTATCACCCAAACCGGGACTAAAACCTTTAGTCCCGGCTGGTATTACCAACCGGGACTAAAGGTACCAGCCGGGACTAAAGGTTTACCTTTAGTTCCGGTTGGTAATACCAGCCGGGACTAAAGATCCCTGCCACGCGAACGACCGTTGGGCAGGGACCTTTAGTCCCGGTTGGTATTACGAACCGGGACTAAAGGGTCCTTTAGTCCCGGCGACAAAAAAATGTCGAAGCTAATGCCAAATTGAGACATCGTTCTAAAGTCTGTTCTCTAGTAGTGTACCTCTGAAACTACCTCTTCTCTGTCTCATTCATCTGTACCTGAATCCTCCTCTGAGTTCATATCAGCGCCAGCACGTCAATGTGGCTCTCTATGGTCTACTACTTTTTTTCCCTTTCTCAATAAGGCCTTGTTTGATACATATACATCCACCTTAATCTACATGTGTTAAAGTGAATTAGAATGAAATTTAGTTTGATTCCACTCTAATCCACCTCAACACATGCGGATTAAGACAAATGCATGCGCATCCAAACAAAGCCTAAGTTTATGTTTATATCGGCACTAAGACGTCCAGTGCATATCCTAATAAACGTACAATTCTCAACTTTGGGACATGCAAGTTCTGCCGTAGCCAGTGTGATGGAGAAGTCAACTTTGGGACATGCAACTTCTCCACAAGGAAACGCAGCAGAAATTAGACAACCGTGCGGGGTTTCTTTTCTTTTTTTTACTACAAATTAACCAACCCACCACTCGTTTAGGTTTAGCACACCACGGTGATCTCCAACTAGACCTAATCTCCATCTAAACTTCGGAACATCCAATTGCACGTACGTGAGCCAGTCTTTTTAGTTATGCCCATGTCTGCTGGGCCCCACAAAAGCGCTTTCTTCTAGGTTTATGCAACCGGGACATCTATCTATCCGTACGTGCCACAGTTATGCTACGCGGCACAGCCAATTTCACACCCGAGAAGAAGACCAACCAGCCCCGGGTGCTGTTCCTCGAATTTTCATTACTCTTCATTTCCATGTCCACGTCTTATATGATAAATAAAATATACAACCTATTGCGTTACCTAGATGAATTACGGTCCGGAGGTTTATGCAATGGTCGTGACATTTGCCTTATGTTAGAATTGGACTCTCAGCCCTCGTACCGTAATTCGTATAATTGTATTGTGCGGATTTTGGTGTCAAGTAAATGAAGACAGATCGGGAAAAAAATAATGTTTCCATATTGTATAATTGTATTGCAAGGTGGGACAAGGCAAACCTTAACATGATACTAGTATATTTTTATTTTTATATGGTTACACCCTCTTCGAATCCAGATATTAGAAAACTTGACGAGAAGTAAATCTTGTTTGATCCATGGAGCTAATAGTTAGCTCATTTAGACCAAACGGGTCCAACTAATAGTCTAGCTAATCTCTTTCTCTCTAAACCTGAGCCAAGCTCAGGCCGTTCATTGGGCCACGTCACCAGTTTTTCTCGGCCGTTCAATTTACGCGGTGAGTTCGATCGAGCCGTCCGTGCAGGCACCATTTCTTTCGGCCCAGTCCCAGAGCCATCGGAATCGGGAGTTTTGCCGACGTGGCGTGAACTCGCAGGGCAGAGCCCATGCTAGATGAGCCTATGTACACCACTGGCGCCGTCTTCATCCACAACGTCCAGCTCCTCCGAGTGCTCCAGCTACGGCGGGTTCTCGTCGTCGGAGGCGGAGTCGTCGCAGCACCGCTGCTTGCGGCCCATACGCTCGAGCGTCGCCGCAGCCACGGCGGCCACCGGGGTGCGAGGCGCCCGCGCCCGCGTTGGTGAAGAAGGCCGGCGCCAACATCTTCGCCAAGCTGAGGGACCTCCAATATAATCCTGTGATGAATGAAAATAATTTCACCATAGATTTAGGCTCAGTTTCAGTTATATAAGTTTCCTATTATTCTTGCATTATGAGCTTGCTCCTTCTCAATTTGTCTCCCATTTGTTCAACCTACATACTGTCACGGACATAATATGTTATTTTGTTCTTTCATAAGCAATGAGAAAGCAAGCTTTCTATTTCACAATTGCACATGTTTTGTACAGCAGCACAATAATAAATCTTCCTCACACTAATTATATTTGTTTTGACAATGTATTTTGCTTCAACTTCACCTACAGACTATATGTTTTTTTTAAACAAAACGGTAAGACATGTCAACACTAAGACCGTGTAATATGTGAAGAATTCAGAATGTCTTAAACTGTTGAAATTTATTGCACTTTCATTGTTTTCCAGTCAGCCTTGCCGATGCACAGTTGCAGACTACCGCTCTATGTGTAGTAAAATCTGCTTTATACAAAACCTGGCCAAATACCTGGTACCAGTCTATTCTTTTCTACATCAATTGTTACATGAACTTTTTTCATTAGCTTAATCAACTACTATCAGGGTGAAGAAGCCAGAAATTAAATTTGAGGGAAGCCAACTTAATGCAAATGCCCAATATTCAAGCAAGACACATCTACTTGACATCTCTTTTTTACTGCAAGCTGCATGGCAGGCCCAAGATCAATGTTCAGTGGAAAAAACACCTGACCTGGACGATGTTGTAAGGCGCGGCTTGGGTTTCTAGTTATTAGCTAATACTAGACAACTATATCACTAGTTAGGCTAATCCAAAAATAGCAGCTAATAGTTAGCTAAATGAGTTGTTGGCTAGCTAACTTTTTTTTTTGAAACTGGCTAGCTAACTATTAGCGGTTAATAGATCTAAATAGGTCCTAAACTAGGATGGACTCTTCAATTCTTATTATCGTTGTCCCTAACTATGTGTTTGTGTTCATCAAAACCAAGAACTAGGAAAGAATTTCACAAACCTTATGACAAATCGTCCAAATCATCCTGCAACATAACTCAACTAGGCTGATGTTGTAACCCTATTAACTCAACTAACGATAATCATTAGCCAATTCAAAGTTTCAAACATAAGATTAAAAAGAAACAGGGTTACAATTTAGTTTGCCACGGTTTCATCTGGCTTAACAATTTGTACTCCTATTGTTGTCAAAAGAAAAAATTGTACTCCTACGAAGCGAAGAAGCGCACGTTTTGTAGTAGTAACAGGTTTCCATGTGCCCCTAACATTTTACCTGCCCAACAATATTTATAGAGAAGGAAAAAAGACGGTGTATACTTCGCGTGGTGTCCCAATCAAATTGATCGATCGCCCGCAAGGCCGCAACAGCTGCAGCAGCCGGCAAGCAACAAGGCGAGATCGTCGTCGGATTCGCAGGCGCAGGTGAGAGCTTCCTTGCACGCCTTCGCTCCCATCGATCGCTCGCTAGCGAGTCTGTGCACTGATTTCCGTAGGGGGGTTGAGCGGATTTGATAGGGAACAGAGAAGTATTCGTGCCCCGATTCCTCATGTGCGCCGCCGATTGGCTAGCTCGCTGCTCTGGTTCGATTCGGTGCTAAGCGTGTTTCTGTTAGGGGGATCTCTCTACCTTGCCGCCGGCCGGCGCTGTCGATCTGGTTGGCTTCCACGGTTCCCCCAGACTCTGTCGCCGCCGCTTCTCTCTCGGTCGCGGGTGGCGGCTGGGTTCGGTTGGCCGCGTAGAGACGTGCCGGTGATGTGCCAGCCGACGACCTCCAAGGAATCACCGCACCATGGATGCGAGGCACGGCTCACGCCGTCAACCCGTGGCGGCGGTGCTGCTGTTGCCTCAGGTGCCTGTTGCTGCCGAGGTCCAGCTCGCTCGCTGCAGCGTGGATCTTGCAGCGAGCTAAGTTTGGTGGCGCAGGAGAAATTGCATCTCATGGAATTGAGCTAACTTATATGTTCCTTGCAACCGTATTACTAGCTACTTTTAATCTTATACGGGATCCGTGAATTTGTCGTTAAGCCACACTCATGTAATCTTAGAATCATTTATCTCTGCATAACTAATTAACTATGCAAGATAGTTCATTCATTGAGTAACCACTCCAATTTTCAGTTTCTCCGTGTGTGCTTCAATTGCATACCTGCTCCTGTCATTGTGATGTCGATCCATTCACCTCCATAGTTTTGACTCAGCGTCACTTATGCAGTTACTGAAGATTCAGTATGGGTTCTCTGGACACCGTGAGAGGAGACCTTGCTCTGGTTATTTTGTACCTAAACAAGGCTGAGGCAAGGGATAAAATCTGCAGAGCGATACAGTATGGATCAAAGTTCCTGAGTAATGGAGAACCAGGGCCTGCACAGAATGTCGACAAGTCAACTAGTCTGGCTCGGAAAGTTTTCCGGCTTTTTAAGGTATACTGCATAATCGTTTACTTACTACTACTGCTCTCAAATCGAAAGCCTTTGCTCTTGCATCTTGGTGTGATTTATGACCCAGCCTTTCCTTATTTACAGTTTGTCAACGATCTTCATGCTTTAATTAGTCCTCCTGCCAAAGGAACTCCACTTCCACTGATCTTACTCGGGAAGGTTGATTACTGAAGTTTGCATTACATGAGGATTTGTTCAGCTGAGGATAGTTTGTTCTGAAGATTTCTGATTGATTTTGTTTACGCATGTTCCAGTCGAAGAATGCGATGCTGTCAACTTTCCTCTTCCTGGACCAAATTGTGTGGGCTGGGAGGACAGGAATATACAAGGTTTGAATTTCCTTTCACATCTTCATGCGTCAAAAGTTTGATATGCTCTGGTCTTGCCTGTGTCTTCGATTTTGGCATAGCAAAAGGACGGGTGTTGCTATCATTTGTGTTCAGATAAACAAAGGAAACAAGTTGATGCAGTAGTGTTATTCCCTAGTATCTGTGAAAAGAATTTACTTATGGAAGTCGATACTACTTACTACATGATGACAAACGAGAGACGGGAAACTAATCCGATTATTTATACATTACAGAACAAGGAGCGAGCGGAGTTCCTTGAAGGATAGCATTTTATTGCTTCCTCGGTTCGAACACCTGCACAACCATTATCGAGGTATGTTGCTTTTTCTAGTATTATATCATGTATGCTTGTAACCATCTCCATCTAGAAACAACTCTATTATGTGAGCCTATACAGTTTTTGGCACGATCATGTTACCACACCTGATTCATGCTCAAACCGTGTAGCTAGCTGAGCTCCAACGGTTATCTGCTTCAATGAAGAAGCTAGAGAAGGAGCTGAAACACCAAGAGTTGTACAAGGTACGGTTTCTCTTTTGATACCAAAGACGTACGCATAGTACACCATGTCACCTTGATTGGAAAGGAGACTTTTTCTCACATGTATTATAAAAGATCGCAAGATTCTTGTGTGCTTAGAAAAATTGAACGGTCTTTGCCATTATCTACTTTTTTGGGTTCTCCATGCCACTTCCGTCGATTCAGGGCTCTAGCTTGCGTTCAAGCAAAGAGTGTGAAAAGATGTGTTTTTAAGTTCAAATATGTTATTAATTTTTTTTAGCATCTTAACGACTTCAAATAAAAAAACTCAAAACTAGAAAGTTATAGATCTCGTCGAGATCTATAATTTTCATATAAAAATTATTTTCATTTAATTCCGCAAAAAAAATATGATTTAATATGATTAATATATCTTAGAAAAATCATCATATTTTTTTTGCGAAATTAAATGAAAAATAAATTTTATATGAAAATTATAGATCTCGACGAGATCTACAACTTTCTAGTTTTGAGCTTTTTCATTTGAAGTCGTTAAGATGCTAAAAAAAAATAATAACATATTTGAACTTAAGGGCATTTTCGTCTTTTCACACCTGCGGTTTGACGCATGCTAAAGTTCTCGAATCGACGGAAGTGGCGTGGCGACCCAAAAAGTTAGTAGAGAAGGCGTTGACACATCTGAGATAATAATAAATTGACACGATCTTTTATAACAAGCACACATGGAAAAGTCTCATGATGGAAAGAAACTGCTCTCCCATGTTTCTTCTTTCTGATGATGCATTTGGCTGTAATCTGTGTTCCAGAACGAGCAGTACCGGATGAAGCTGCAGAAGTCCAACGAGCGGCTGCTCGCCCTCATCAAGTCGAGCCTCGACATCGTGGTCGCCGTGGGGCTGCTGCAGCTGGCACCCAAGAAGGTGACCCCACGCGTCACGGGCGCGTTTGGTTTCGCCAGCTCGCTGATCGCTTGCTACCAGGTAAGTACCTGTACAAGCGTTGCTTATGCTTGCCCCCTGTTTGTGGAAAAGACGGATCAGCTGGAGTTTCATCTCTTCTTTGTCGCCTTGGCAGTTGCTTCCAAGCGCACCAGCGAAGAGCAGGTGAGGTCGCTTGGTGTACACGACGGCGGCGGCTGCATATGCAGTGATTGGTTTTGGTGCATCGCCGATTGATGGATGGCATCGTTGTCACCAGGAAATAAATCCCGGATGGAACTCTCGATTCTGCGTGTAGCGTGTACTAGTAGGTTGGTTGGTTGCCACGCAAGGTGGCGGTAACCACGGCAATGTTGATGTCTGGTAGGACTGATAATAACGAGTCTCTATCAACAACCATGTATTTTATGTAACACATGAATTTTTTTACGTCATAGAATTAAGATCCAACAACCTCCATCCTTCTGGTACCTTCAGCCTTTTTTTACCTCTAGACAATCATAGGATCACAGCTTCACAGATCTATAGATCACAAGAAACAAATTTTTTTTTTCTATAGAAGGATAAATTATAAATCGCAGAGGAGGAAGAGGTACCTGGATCCGGATCCCTGGATGGCCAACCAAGACATCTGACCTCTGGACTGCACCACCATGACCATGCAGTGCAGGACGACATGCATGCGTTCCGGCCATTGATGGCCTTTGGAGTTTGGTGGCAAGCCCGATGCTGCTCCTCTGCGGTCTCTGGACTGCCCTGGCCTGGGTGCATGCGTGACCGTGCTGGGAACGGCGAAGGCGAACGACGCCGTGGAGGAGGCCCACCGGGCCCACGCCCGCATCGTCCAGTCACCATCGGCCGGGGCCGGGGCCCGCGTCGGGAATTATTGGGCGATCCGAGTGCGGGCGGGACCCGACGCCGGTCACCGAGCACTCGGAGCACCGGTGAAAAAAGAGAGAAAAAATCCATGTGTTTTTTCTTTAAACCACATGTATATTGTATAGCATTTCTGGATAATAATTCATAAATAATCCGATTGTGGATTGTTGGTTAGTTGTATGGTCGTCGGTTAATCTGTAGCTTGATGAAGGCACTGTGTGACCTGTGGCAGAATAAGAAATGGTCGCCCGTGGAAACGATGAGTGTTATAGCATCTCCAAGCAGTGTTCTTTTCATTCATCATTCGCCTTACGACTGCTTGTTTGTTTCATTGTTTGGGTATATCGCCTTCGACTTTGAGTGGATCGACATTCACGTGTAGATGTATAAGTGTACAGTGGGGGTGGGGGGGGTGCGGGTGCACGCCGGCCATCTTCAGCCCAGCCCACATGCGGGCCAGCGGAGTTGTGCGTACGGGCCTCGGTGGTGGTTCGGACTGGATTTGGATGGATGGATTTTCCGCGCGTTCCTCGACCGGAGAGGGGCGGCGCTGGGGTCTGGGCCGACGCGGGGTCGCCGCTGAGGAAGATCGGTTGGCGGCGCTGGCGGCCCATTGGTTGTCGTCCGTGTCTACACTTTTACCGTACACCTGATCCTGCCTACAAGCAGGTTTTATTATATTTTATATACATACGCTGTAGGAGTAAGTACTAGTATATGAGCAGTAATAAATGGGGATTGCTAGTGGCTGGACGTCCGAAAACATGCCCGTGTCCGGACCCTGGTGCTAGCACCCCGTTTCGTGCGCCTGCACCCTGGTGCACCCATGCAGGGCCCGCGCCACCCGCACCGCATGTGCCACAGAATGTCCCCGACCTACAACACGTGGAGACCGTTCGTGCCTCGTACGCTTTCCACGCGCATGCGACGCCCCAGCAACTACAGCAGGCGACTGTGGCGAGTGGTCCTATTGCAACATATGCAACACCAAATCTACTTTTGCAACATCTAGAGGAAACACTTGCAACATACGTCTGAAACAGTTGCAAAACACACAAAAAACACTTGAAAGCCATTACAAATGCATGCAACATCCAGATCTACTTTTGCAACATACAGATAAAACACTTGGAACATACGTATGAAACACCCGAAACATACGCTTGCAACATGTATGTTATGCAACATCCATATAAAGCACTTGAAACATACGTTTGAAACAACTGAAACACTTGAAACGTATACTTGCAGCATAAGTATATAGCCATTGCAACATAGGCAATATCCAGATAGAACACCTGAAAAACACTTGAAACACGGCGTCGTCGACGGCCACGGCCTACCTGGTGGGGAACTGCGGTAGCCACCAAGCGACGCTCGGGTGCAGTGGAGAGGGAGGATGGCGGCTGGCAACCGGCTGGGCGCGGTGAAGAACGCCGCGCCGGAGCAGTCGGCGTGGACCACGGTGTGTCGGCTCGAAGCACTCGGCGGTGAGTGGTGTGTGGTGGTACGGAGAAAGGAAGGCAGGCGACGGCGCTTGGGCGCGGTGCAACACGCTGCCACGTCTCGCCCATCGGCAGTGCGGTCGCGGTGGAGCACGCCGCGGCGGTGCGGGGACGATGGCGATTCGAGAGTGGGTTCGAGAATGGATGTAGGCGCAACGGCGATTCGAGAGGAAATTGACGGAGATTTTTTATTTTGAGCAACGCGAGATAGGTGCATCCGTGCGGATGACAGTGTTGGGCCGTTCAAACGAGTGTCGAGGCCTACCAACGTGTGTCTGGACACCTACCTACAGTATTTCTAGTAATAAATTGAGGAGGTGAAGAGTGAACCAGAGGCGTGTCTACATGACTACTCCATTTATGTATCCACCCGGTGACGTGGTAGGTGGTGGGAAGAAATGAAACCTGGATGTAGTATTGTAGTGGACGGCGGATCGCGACGGTCGGCGACCCGGTCAAAGAGGAGAGAGAGTATCCATCCCATCCGGGCGTGCTCGTGATGATAATTGATGAAGAATGGACCGAGAGACCGACCACGACGGATGGATGGGCGGTCCACGCGTGGCTCTCCGCCCGGGCCCTCCTGCGTCCTGACGACCCGGTCGCCTCGCTCAAGCTCAACCCGGGCAGGACACGCCGCCACGGCCACGTCACGTCGAACCCCACGTCTCCATCCCGTGCCTCCAGCAGGTGTCGGGTTGGGCCGCTGCCGCGGACTCCCGTCACGGCACAGGCCGCAGCAGCGATTTTTTTATTATTATTTTTAACACTTTTTAAACTAATTTTAAACCTAACATTATTTTTTTCTTTAAAACTAACACTTTTGATCATGACTATTGCTATGGCGTAGCGAAACGTATATGCCGCGTCATGTATGGTGGCGTGGTGGGAGGATGACGTGGCACTTCCACGCGCCATGGTCACTGACGTGGCAGGAACTGCCGCGCCGCCATGCGCGACACTGCCGTGCTCCCGCCCACGGTGCGTCCATTCGTCAGATGTGTTCTGTCTTGCCGTAACGATGGTTTGTTCTCCGTTCAATGTACATTTTTCAAACTTTGTATCTCGTTTCTATGTTGCTGCACTTGTCCTATTAGATTTTATCTCTTGTTTCAATGCCGCTGCATGTACTGTATCCCATCTTATCGGTTTATCGTGACTTGACATAGCATTGCGTTGCTGACTCTAGTTTCGTAGCCCTAAACTATAGGTCATGCTGCTTTGCTCTGTTACGCAAGACTGGTCATACCGTCTAATTGGAACCAACTTTTTGCAGTTTGAGACGACGTGCGTGTAGATGCTGTTGTCGGTGTTGTAAACAATCACAAGTCATGCCGCGATGCATTAAAACGAATATGAAGCAAATAAATGAAGTCCGTGCGCAAGTTGACAAGTTGCCACATAACATTTTCATTGCTTCATGAGTCTGCAAGTTTCGGACGACAATATTTGTTCGACATAAGTTCAACATAACAAACTAAGTCACAGGAGTGTAAGGATCCCTTGGACGCATCTGTCTCTTTGGATTTATAGGCAACACATTGAGAGTGTAGCCAACGTCGGTGTGGTCGCGTTGCCGGTGCGTACGGCTCGTACCCTGCAAGTATATAAAATGCATGATTACTTATAATCTTTACGATCGTTAGTTCATAGAGCCTACGTATTTAAAGAAACTACCTTTGTAACTACCTGTGAGGCTCATTGGGTACCAAGTGGGGCATCACCTAGTTGAGACATGCCGATCTCGTCCTGCGGCCAATCGTTCTACTGGTCGTGCTGTCTGCGGAAGCCCAGGGGGTCGTCGTCGTCATCGTCGTCCTCGCTTGCAGGGTCCTTCCCAGCGCTATGATGTGGTGGTGTACACACTGTGGAAGTGGCACCGATCACCGGTTGAGAAGAGCCGGCTGATGTCCTCAAAGAGCCAGAAGACGTGCCACCCGACCGCGCCGGGACTACTGGTTCTACCCAAGGAGTGTCCATGCAGCTCAGCTTCTGAGCTAGCTTTCTGCAGCTCCGCTTCACCTTCTGCATAAATTGAGTTAAGTTGTGATATAGTGTATATCGAACAAGACACATGTATGATAGTAAAGAGAGCGTAACCTGATGCTGTGTCAGGACGTCGAGACCGTCCGTGTACTCCCTTACTTGCACCTCGCATTCCCTCTAACTAACTCTACTTGCGTCCAGATATACAGAACTATAGGGAGTGTATCATGCCCGTTCTAATGCTGCATTGAACACGATAATAAATTAGCCATTAATAATTTAATCATATGTAATTGCTTCGAAGACTATAGTGAGCCAAAGTACTTACCGGTAAACCAGTAGCAAGGGGCATCCCAACGGGCCATCGTTCCCAACACCAAACCTAGAGTAGGTAGAAGCAACCCTCAAGGTTCGCATACCCTGAGGTGCGATGGCAGGCAACGCATAGCTATTGATACGTCCATGCCAGGACTGCACTGCCCTAGCTGTACGCCGCTATGTTATCTCACGGCTGGCGTAGTATGTCAATGAAGATTCAGCTGATGGTATTGCCCGAGACGTCTGGGAAGAGGAAAGCACCAAGAAAGTGCCAGAGCCATACTCTAGCGAATCTGTAGATCTGAGCCTCATCAGCCTGTGGGTCCAAGTAATCAAAGCGCTCTGTGATCCACAATAACGAAACACCGGAACTTTTCCTGAAATTCACCAAAGAAAATGAGACCCGATGGCTGCAGTAAAGCAATGCAAGTATTAAATAAGCTTGAATTGCTCATTTATTTTTCTTGGAAACCTCATCGTC